CCCAGGTCCAAAGACAAGAAAGCATAATAAAAGGCAACGAAAAGGCGAAGAAACAATACTCACCACCTCGGCAACTCGAGCAACTTGCTCAGCCGCCCGTACTCCTACCTCAGTGACGGCTCCCCCGGCCTACAAGAAAACCCATATCACCACAATAAACCAAGCAAAGTCTAACACAGAAGAAACGTATAAGGAAGTACAACACTCGCATCGGCGACCTGCGTGGTAGGCTAGCAGCCTAGGCCGCCTCCCCAGCCCCCACTAGGGGAGCCTCTTTAGACGGTGGACTCTCAGTGAGATCCACCGCATCAGCATCAACGGCCTTGGAGGTCACCTCCTCGGCACCTGGAGGGGAGGAGGTTCCCCCGACCTCTTTTCCCCCCTCTTTCTCTTCTGGCTAACCTTCAGGGGGGCAACTTCCTCCTCCGGAGGCTCGGGAACCTCAAGCTCAGTAACGTTGTAGCGGTACTTAAGCTCGTGCCACAAGTTCTTCCCCATAATGCCTGCAGACAAAAACGGAAACACATCAACAAAAGGAAATTACACGAGCCCTAGCAAACCACCAAAACACGAAATACTCACTCTCTAGGCCCCTCTCCCTGTAGGGCGAATTCGCAAGCGACAGAACGAGCTTGCAATCCAACGGGCGAGGGAGCGCAGCAAGGTTTTCAATGGCGGCTGCCTCCGAGGCCGTCACCTTCAGGTTACCCAAACCGTGAAACCTAGACGGTTTGGGACACCAGTAAAAAGGAAATTTCGGCAAGCCGCCGAAGTGGAACACCTCGTCCTCCAGGGGGTCAATACCCACAAGGGCAACCCGGAAGAACTCCTGTTTGAAGTTTTTATATGATTGGGAGTAGAGAGTAAACAAACCCCCATCCCTACTCCCATTCAAGGACAAAATACCATAAGGCGGAGCGCCCGCCTTCAGTTGATAAAAATGAAGAAAGACGCGAAGGGACACCTCTATCCCCAGAACCGCACACAGGACCTGAAAAGCCCTCAAAAAACCCCAACTGTTGGGATGCAACTGGCAAGGAGCCGCGTTGATAAAATTCAAAAAATCGCACTCGAACTGAGTGAAGGGAAGACAGACACCTAAATCCCTAAAAAAGCTTTGGTACATATAGAAATGGGGAGAGTCTGTAGGCTTCCCCATATACACGCCCTCATCGGCCTGACAAGGCTCAAGCCGAATCATATGGGAGATAGAAGGGTCGCAAACCCTACATGACCTGGAGATCCTATTGACCTCTAGAAAGGTCCGAAACACGCTTTGGACCCTCGCCATCTCGCTCTTGACCCAGTCGTATCCAGGAATTCCTGGCTACACGACCTGGAGATCCTATTGACCCCTAGGAAGGTCCGAAACACGCTTTGGACCCCTGCCATCTCGCTCTTGACCCAGTCGTAGCTAGGAATGCCTGGCTCTGGGCCCCGGGGCGAATCCCTCTTTTCGGCGGTGGCCTTCCCGGTGGCCACCGCCTTGCCACGCGCCTTGCCCCGAGAAGGCGCAGAAGGGCCGACACCACTTCCCCCAGCCATTGAAAAGACAAGAAAATCCGGGAAGAAAAGAAAAGAAGACAGTAAAAAGGAAGTACCTGGTACTCATCTTTAGAAAATAACCCTAACAACAAAGGAGTTACCGGAAACGGCGACGGAAACGGAGAAGACGGAGACGGAAGACAAGCAGAAAAGCGAGAGCAACGGCGTGCACAAGAAGCCACAAGAATGGAAAAGAGCAAAGTGAAAAAGGCCAAGAGGCGCGAGTGAGAGAAAAGAAAAAACTCTCCCCCAGAATTTCAAAACAGTCACGACACGTGTCATCGAAGGGACACGCCTAACCACGCATTAAATGAGACCCATTATGACAGAGGAAGCCATCATTGCATAACCGTCATGACCACTAACGCGCGTTTCGAAATACGAAACGACCTTTGCACGCGTGGCATCTTGACAGGCGGACATACGCGAAGGGTCACTTCCCCCTGGCGAGCTCGGTCTTAACTCCTCGACCTACGGTCTTTGGAGCTCGGGGGGCTAGTGTACTGACCATACCGCGAAGCCGAGCTCCAAGCTCGGCATCACAGTGCAAGATGATCTCGGGCACGCGTCGTACGACGTCAGCTCGACCTTCAGGTGAATCACAACTGATTCCCGAGGATCTCGCCCATACGAGATCCATTATCCAATCACTGATCACCGAAGATCTCGCCCCAGACGAGATCCGCTATCATATCTTATCTTAGGCCCAGAGCCCAAAGTAAACCTAATTCACTCCAAGGTACGTGCATTACATATACGAGACTATTACTCATACAAACCCTAACTTTAGCATCGGAGTCTCTTTTGCAGGTACCACCCCCATCTTGGAGCATCAGCGTACCAGTGAAGGAGGCTCACCAATCTTACTTGGAAGATCGTCCCTACGACAAATTC